TTACAGGAAATAGCTACAGCGCAAATCGGCGACACCCACACCGAGCGAATGCGGAAACAATCCACGCTCCGCATCGAACATCAAAAAGCTTTCGTCCTCAGACAACAAAGTCTATTTCGACGTCTCCCTAGGTCAGCCATTAGTTCCATCCAACTTACGCGAAAAGGATTTTGAGACACTGTATAATTTGTCACACTAAGGCATCCGAGNCTTCAGTTGTACTAATCACTGGTCGTTCCGTGTGGCACAACATCAAAAAGAACATCCACCAATGGGTTCATCAGTGCTTGTCCTGCCAACGTAACAAAATTATTCATCACACAACAAGCCCCCTATATTCGTCTCCCGTCGTCGACGAGCGTTTCCACCACTTCCACGTAGACTTAGTGAGACCCCTGCTACCATCGAAAGAGTTTATCTATATACTCACCTGTATAGATCGTTTCACCCAGTGGCCGGTAGCTGTGCCTTTGTCTTCCGCATCCAGCGAAGCAGCGGTACAAGCCTTCGTAGAGGGTTGGATGGTTAGCTTCTGTTGTCCTGCAGTAGTTACAACTGATCGAGGTTCTCATTTCGAGGGTGTTTTCGAAAAACTACTTAATCAACTGGGCATTCGACGCATCCAGACCACAGCTTACCACAGGCCAATTCAGACCTGGAGGAGTCTCTACCATCAGTCCTCTTAGGTTGCAGATGAGCCCTCGAAGCTGATCTGCAGTCCACACCGGCAGAGTTGACTTTCGGTCGCACATTGCGCCTTCCAGAAGAAATGGTGGCACCAACCCCACCAACTGACTTCAACTACGGTGACTATGCAGCTCGTTTAGAACATCGTATGCGCCAATTGCATATTCAACCACCTCGCCAGCAAACACCCCTATCCTACGTTTCCCCTCGATTAGCCGAAAGCTCGCACGTTTTTCCCAGGGTAGGTGTTTGCGCACCAGTGCAACCCCAATACAGCGGCCCACATAAGGTACTGCGACGCTTAGAGAAAGCCTACTTAATAAAGCGCAACGGTAAACGTGAGACCATCAGTATTGACCGGCTCAAACCTGCGCATGTGGAGGAAACCGGCCCTTCCACCAATGGTCCCCCACACGTAGCGCCACCCGCAACTCCCGCTCCAACAAATCCTGCTCCCTCCACCCAGGTAAACCCCGCGACACTCTTGGAGCAGGCACCTGATCCCGACCCACCCCATCGGATCACTAGTCGCGGGAGAGTCCTTAATTTACCTGTGCGTTTTGCATTATAACACGTCTTTACACTTGAAAGCGCAAAAATACACTTAATCTGCGATATAGATAATTTTTCTTTCAACTGAGTATTCATATATGCATGCAAAAGCCGAAACCAAAGATTCTTTTGTCGTCGTTTTTATTATTATTTTTTCACCATGGTTTACGTTTTTTTCTACGTATATATATACACATTAAAAACAAAACTAAAAACTAAAAACCCTTGCTCTTTTTATATTGTGTTTGTCTTCGCCTCATCGATCAAATCCAACAAGGGCTGCTTCAACCTTCTTCTTCCGTTCTCTTCTAGGCTCTGCATTCAAAACCTCGAGAGAAAAGCTTCCGCCAAGAGAACGCAACAACCTTAAACCTCTGGAGGAAATATTCGGCCAAGAAACGCAGAGACCCCAAAACCCGTGAAGAAAACTTCGACCAGGAGAACGCAGCAAGAAAGAAGGTTGGCACGTTCCCCACCCTTCCCACCGCTCCAGCACAAAATGGGTATCGAAGACCTTTTCCCGACAGCCCCCTCAGTTTTCCACTGGCTCGTGCCTAGCTGCGACGGTCCTCCTATTTTATTTCTAGACAAACCAAACCGGGACAAGTAGCGAAAGGACGACGGGCCTGCATGCGCTTTTCCATAACATTTTCATTTCCCCACATTTCTTTTGTGGGCCAGCAACCCCTGCCACATCACCTGGAACTATTTCGACAGCTGATTCTCCATATTTCCGTGGCAACACCCCAAGCAATCCTATTATTTGGACTTGCAAACCACAGCAAACAATGCATGCACCCTTATCGAAGGTTCTCCCTAGTCTTCTAGGGGGGGGGCTCTGTAGTGACAAATCAAATCCCATTCTACACGTACTCTTCCTCCTGTGCATCTCATTGTTTAATCACACCAAGGCCACCTCTTTGGTCAGCACGTGTTTGCTTTCACTTTCCGCACGCTTGCTCACGCTTCCATATCTCTATCTTGCTCTGCAGATCATAGCAATACAACCCGTCCTCCGTTTCGTGGATCGTTTCGTTCTGTTTTCGTACGAACGCTCGTTTTTGACATATATGTATTAGCTCGGGGTATCTATAAGCCAGTGCCTACACATTACGCATTAGTGAATGTATATATCACCATATACAATGATATAATGAAATATATATAAAGATACATAAACATATATCTTTTAACATATGTATATATATATGTATTTATAATAAATTTATTATATATGTATATCATCTGAAGATTTGGAGACCCATCCAGTCAGAAAGTGACATGAACACCCTGCAGAGAGACCTGGATTCTTTGATGCACTGGTCGCGAGGGTGGGATTTACCCATCAACAATACAAGTGCCATTATATGTCCATTGGCCGGCAGCCCAGTCCAAGAATGTACCACCTTATGGACACTCCCTCACTGACATCCGTATTCGAACGGAATCTCGAGATGCTGATTTCCACGTATTTAAAAACCCGGGAGCAGACAGACAAAGCCTGCGCCTTGAATTGGAGAATCCTTGGGGCCATTTGTCGTTCCTTTTACAAACTCTCATACGATAGTTTCAGGGCCCTGTACACCTCCCATGTCAGACCTCGCTTAAAGTTCTCAAGCACCGCCGTATATCCTTGTACAACTGCCAAAATTTTGCAGATGGAGAAGGGTCGACGAGCTGCCACTTGCATGACTGCCGGGTTACATGGGTGTTGCTACACTGAACGATTGCATGCCACTGGATTGTTCCCAGAGTCATATCACCGAGTATGGGGTAAAATCATATGTGTAAGACGTATTCCACGTGGTGACATGGGCCCAGAGCTAATGGAGTACTTCCCTCTGCGCGAGCAGAGCAGGACTCGTGGATACAGACTTACGTTGCTGAAGCTTCCGTCAATAGGATTATCTCTTAGATATCGACTATCGCTCAAGGTAACCAACCTATGAAACTCCCTTCCAGCCGATGTGGTGGACGAGGTAAATGATAATATGTTCAAGAGTAAGCTCGACAGCGTCCTTCGCGGAATGTGGAATGCAGATTAGTCCTGAATGCATTCTTCGAGTCTGTGGTGATGAGGTTTATACGGGAAGTTTCCCACTGCCTCTAACTGAAGAGCATTGAACGTTGTCCGTCAGCAGCTTCTGAATCTAAATCTGCAGACAGTAGGAAGTCTAGGTAAGGCAAGAGAATGGATTAGACAATTTCTCAACTGTCGCACATTCAGTGTGAGAGTTGAAAATTATACATATAAACCTGAGGGAATATCGAATGGTGTCCCACAAGGGTCGGTGTTGGGTCCGTTTTTATTTTTGATCTTCATTAACGATCTTGCGAAGGATCTCCAAAATCCTTGCTCCATGTTTGTCGATGATGTGAAGTTAGCTGAAGAAGGATTGGAACAAGATCTAGATGCAGTTCGAAGGTGGTTAAATAAACGAGATGTACTACTGAATCTAGGTAAGTGTCAGCTCTTGACCACAATAGCCAATGATGACACGAGAGGTGTATTGCATTTACAGCATATCTCTGAGGCAAAGAATCTAGGGGCGATGATTACAAACAACTTCAGGTCATCCCTGCGGTGCAGGCGTGCGGCTAATAAAGCTCGACACGAACTTTTCAGGTTGTGCGCTGTTGTAAGTTGCAGAAAACCTGAGGTTTTTGTACCGTTGTAAAAAACTATAGCGCGTCCTCATCTAGAATACTGCGTACAAGCATAGGCACCTTATTTTACACAGGACGAACGGTGTCTTGAGAAAGTACAGCATTTAGCAACTAGATTGGTAGCAGGCCAGAAAGGTAAGGGATGCTTCCCACGACCGGGGGACCTGGACCTGTTCTCCTTGGCCCGCAGACCCATGCGGGGCGACCTTATAGAGACATTTAAGGTTGTCAAAAAGGTTTCGGGTCCAAAGTTCGAAAACCTATTCTCGTTTGTTCCTACCAGGAGCACGGG